AAATTTACTTTCTCTTCCTATAAAGATGGAGAATCTAAACTAATTAGGTTTGTTTGGTGTGCTAAAATGCATGGAAAGCATTGTCAAGTAAGTGATGATAAATCTCCTTAGGTGGTATTATGTAGATAAGTGTTATTGCTATACATGTTTTAAAAATTATATAACATTCCTAAAATTCTGGTCTGTCCTGTTTGCCAGCCATAATTCTAGTTACTATTTTGAAGTGCTGTATGTCACAGAATTAGGCAAGTTTCTCTGTCTATTCCCCTTTTGAGTCTTTTGTCATCTGCAGATAGTTGCTGTTATACTCTGACACTTTTGCAAACATGTTTCATCTTCAGAGAGATTCATGGAAAGGACACTGACAGTTACTCTAGAATACAGGTTTCTGGTAAACTTCCAGATGATAAAACTGAACTGGGTAAGAAAGTACAGAACTCTAACAGAGAAACAGATGACTTCATGAAACTGCTAACAGAAGATTAAGATCAAGAATCGATTACACAGGACTGAATGAACTGATGAGGATGAATATAATTTATATGACTTTCTATTTGAGATATTGTTGGTTTTTTATGTTTTTTCTTTTCAAGATTTAAGGAAATTGCTTTCTCTTTTCTCTCATGCTAACTATGACATAGCAGTTTGGTAAATTATACTTTTGTAAGCAGAATTGAAACATTTATCTTTTTCTCCCTACCAGATCTCTCCAGAATTTGGAAACTCTTAGTGAGTGAGTATTGTTTTCATGGAAATACAGTTATTTGCATAAGTTCAACAAGAACTTGTTCTCCTTATTACAGGACACAATTGGAAAAATTGGTTATAATACCAAAACTTTGACTGGAATGTCATAGTTGAGAGAAATGTATGGACTCAGAAATTGCAAGATAGCTTTTGAGGAATAAAGTTTGACTTTCTGGAATAAAGCCACTTGGAAATATCACCCTGGTACCTTGTTTACAGAGTTCCTAGCAACCTTACCCGGTGAGTAAAGAAAGTCACCCCTCTATAAGATGCAAGGAACCTCAAAGATCTGTAGATATTTCAGGCAGAGTCTGACAAGTCCTTTGCTTTGCTTGGCCTGTCCTTGAGAGTCCTTTAAAGTTCAATCTGAGATTCCTCATAAAAAGTCCAGCAAAGCAGATTTGAAAGGCCTATACAATCAATGTATATTCTTGATGTTCTTATGTAAATAGTTGGGCCATTTTATTGAAACTAGACTTATTTTGCAAACCAATGAATCTTAATCAGCTACCTTTGGTAAAAATGAGGGTGATTTTAGAGAGAAAAACAATGTTTCAATAGAGACTATAGTACACATTCATGGCTATGAGGTTCTAGTTCTGATAACTATCTTTGAGGTCTTCATTTTCTATCTGAAAACTGGACTGGATCCTGAATTCTTCTAGTCTCCTGAAACATATGGCTACAAATCTTGAAACTAATATTTTCAATTTTTTCCATCATTTTCCTTTGGAATCTTTGAAAACTGAACATGCCCTTTTCCTGAAGTTGTGCAGACTGAAACCAGACAACTTGATTTAAAATTAAGAGAGTTTCATTTCTGTTGCTGTGTAACTACTCAGAAAGATACCTAAACACCTGGTGACACAATCAGAGACATTTCAAGCTACAAAAGATGCTTCAACTCTGACACCTAAAGACCTTTTTGGCTGGCTGTTCCCTGAGCTCAGAAACTGGGTTATAACTTGCTCCCCCCATTAATCTTCTTTGTATTTTTGTTTCACTAGAAATGACTTATGTTAATAACACAGGGAAGGTTGAGATCAATATCCAGAAAATCTATGAACAAGCATCTTAGCTTCACCGACATAACCAAGGAACAGACCCAAATCAAGCATGGTCACTGATCAAGGGTGCCCTTCCACCTCACACTTGGTTCCTTCCCTTCTTGGGATCCCTGGTCATCATCTTACTCCTATTAATTTTTGGTCCCTGTCTTTTTAACCTTCTTGTCAAGTTTGTGTCTCTAGGCTCAAACAATTCCATGTTAAACTGATGGTCATACAAGGATTCCAGGCATTTCCAATGGCCAACCTACCTGGTCCTCATTCTCATTCCTACTGGACCATGCAACAAGCTAAAAAAGATTTTTACTCCTACTGGATATGGGGTCCCCTTCTCAATGCCCACCATCAGCAGGAAGTAGCTTCAGAAGAAGAGACCTTCACCTATGATCCTTAATACTAAGAAGGATAAAATCTCTTGGGGGTGGAGGCTGGCCAAGTGGTATGGCAGTTAAGTGCACATGTTCTGCTTCTGCGGCCTGGGGTTCACTGGTTCGGATCCCAGGTGCGGACATGGCACTGCTTGGCAAGCCATGCTTTGGCAGGCATCCTACATATAAAGTAGAGGGAGATGGGCATGGATGTTAGCTCAGAGTCAGTCTTCCTCAGCAAACAGAGGAGGATTGGCAGAAGATGTTAGCTCAGGGCCGATCTTCCTCCAAAAAAAAAAATCTCTTAGCAGGGAATGAGACAGGAACCAGCCTAATGAGACAGGCCATCCACAAGACCCCTGGTCTAAAAAGATAAGGCCCCTAACCAATCCACAAGCAAGGAGAATCAGATAGAGACCACCAAGATCCACATTCCACAGTTTCACGACTTTCTCAGGCTTACACATGCTCCCTAGCACCCAGGAGTTATCTGAAGGTAACTTTAGCGCCATTATCATAGTAAAAATCACACACAGGGTGGAGATCTAGCATGCAAATGATACATGCATCGTGTGTAGTAGCATGCTATATGACAGCACAGGCACAAGCACAATCCCACCTGTACATGCCATAAGAAGGCACTCCTCCTCAACTTTTGCCTAATAAAACCCTCAAAATCCCATTCCCTTATGAGCCAGTCACCTGCCCCTTTCCTTTCCACACCAGTTCCCTTTGCCTTTCCTGTGCACAAGCTAATGAACTTTTACTGTTCTATTCCCGTTTATTGTCTCTCTTGATTTCTGTCCTGGGGGAAAACAAGAACCCAGTGCACCAGTAACAATCATACTAAGTCAAAGTTTTTGTTAAATCTCAGATTTACAGAAATAAACTGGTTATTAGAGAAATGAAATCTGAATGACAACATAAGCCCTTTCTGGAAATTTATTTCAGTTTCACTTTTCGATGTTCCACAGTACCAGAGAGGGGTTTCACTTCCACAAAGAAGCAGGAGGCAGAAGATTGGCTGAGTGGGGAGAGTAAATCTATACATGTATACCGAGCATCTACTGTGGGCAATGCATCTAACCCAGGTCTCATTTAATTCTCACCAGACTGGATTCTGACTAAGTTGGTATAGTCACCCCAACATTGTAGACGAGGCTATTGAGGCCAAGAGAGTGATTTATGCCAAAGGTCACCCAGAAGTGGTGGAGCACACAATATTTAAGCCAGTCTACTTGACCCAAAACCTGAGCTCTTTCCTCCCCCTTTGCCTTGAGAGTTTCCTGGGACTTTGCCTAGAGACCAGCTAAGAGGAAGTGGAGGGCTTGCAAAGCTGGATGGGCCAAGGAATAGAGGAAAACAGAGGTGTGAGCAGAGTCAGGGAGAACCGACCCATCACAAAACACCCCCCAGGCTCTGCCCTTCTCCCTCTTCCCACATCATCCCTTCTTCTTGCTTTTCAGACAGGGTTTCTCAATCTTGGCTCTACTAAGATATTAGACCAGATAATTCTTTGTTGGGGGTAGGGGGCTGTCCTGTGTATTGTAGGGTATTTACTAGCCTCCCTGGCCTCTATCAACTAGAGTCAGTAGCAACCTCCTCAGTCATGACAATAAAACATATCCCGGGACATTGCCAAGGCATGCCTGCAGTGGAGAATCCCCACCCACTCCAAGTTAATAACCATTGTTTTGTGGTAGCCAGCCATGCCAGTTTGCCTTGGAGTGAAGGATTTGCCAGAGATTCAGTGCTAAAATCAGGATAATCAGGGCCAAACTGGGGCGATTGGTCACCCTGCAAGTGAGAATTTATTACTTGCTTAAATAAAGGCTGCGGTGGGAGAGGGGCCTTGTGTTGACAACATGGCTCTCCTGGCAATCTTCAGTTTCACTAAGCTGTTGCTGTACCAAGCACAGCTGCCTAACACTTCTTTCTTCCCCTGACTTAGCCTGCCAGGCGGGTAGGGGAAGTGGCCTGTGTGTGTGGGGGCTGGGAGGGGCAGCTGCATGCTGTACTATAGAGAGCCCATGGGTGCTGCCCGGGAGGGCAATATGCATGTGTGTAGACACCAGGAGTTAGTGGATACTGGATGGGGGAAGGTTTTCAGCTCTGTGTTAACTTGGCCTATGCCTACGTGGTATGTGCATTTTAATTTATTTGGGATTTTAAAATATCTGTATGAGTTGCTCTGAGAACTTATCAAGGACATTTTCCTGAGAGAAACCAATGAAAGAAAAACCTCAAAAATGGTTTGTTATCATAATTATTTTTGTTGTGTTCTTGAGAATACATTTACAATAGTAATAACTATTTTGTTTTTTTGCAAAATTACAAAGCTCTTCCAAAATATATCATTTGTCCCTCAGCTGTCTGCTCTTGCTGTCATTTGTATGCCCATCTACAGGATGAAAACAATTGAGTTTGAAGGTGATAAGTGACATGCTGAGGTCAAATGCCAGGTTTTGCATGTGGATCACTGGGGTCTGCATCTTGTGACCCCCATATTCCTCCAGGCTGCGGGAGAGTGAGTCCTGCATGTAAGTGTTCAGTCTGGGCTGCTGTAAACCTGGATGGTAAAATGACCAGTATAGACACAGAGAGTGCAAATCAGCCCTATTGCCGTGACTGTGACAACAGCCCTTCCCCCTTCTCTGTCTTCAGCAAATGGGAGGATGAAGCAGGTTCCACGAGGGCAGGACCTAAGACCCACAGTCACCTGGCACCACATCACCCCTGCTTGCTGATATCTGTGTGAGCCTCCCTCTGTGCTCTTTGAGACAAGTGATGTGGATGTGATTCGTTGTGTAGGATTGTTTGCCTTTTCCTTGATTATGTAAACCAGGGACTTTTGCCAGGAACATTCCATTCCCTGAAAAAATAAGCTACTTCCCCCTATCGACTGACTTAGTTTCATTTTGCTTGAGCTTTTCAAGCGGCAGAGCAGTAGTAACTGCCTGTGCCTCTTGGCAGTGAGGCACCTAGAGTTCAGGACCCCAAACGGTGACAATGACAGCAGACGAGTTGGTTTTCTTTGTCAATGGCAAAAAGGTAAGCAGGAGCTGGCCTTTGGCCTGGATTCCCTGCTCCCTGGGAAAGGATATGTGTCCTCTGGAAGAGTCCTGTTCTCAGTCTCTCTCTTTCACGTTCTTGTTTTCCTTCTCTGTTTCTCTCTCACAAAAGATGTTGCTGAATTTGGGGTAACATTGGGGAAAGAGCGCTTTCTCAGGGCTGGAACACAGTCAAGATACTGAAGGGGCAAAGGAGTGAGAGGGAGGGAAGCCAGAAGCAAGGTGTCTGTGAGCTCCCCCAACCCTGCCAACTCTCTGCAGTAGCAGAGACGCTGGCACAAAGCTGAGAAAGGGGGACAGGGTTCCAGGTGAGACTGGAGGTCACTCACCATGCTTCTATTTCTGTGTTTAATCATATGTGTCCTAGGGCTTTTGTTGGTCTCTTTACTGAGAGAAGGAACAGGAATGTGTTTTCTTGCTCATATCAGGATAGAAGATGTACACAGCCTTTGATTCTGATATTTCATGTATGTAAATATAATAGCTAACTTGTGTGAGAACATATACTGACATCTTGTGGCAAGCCAGGATTTTTTTTGTGCGTCTGTGAAAAGCATGCTTCTCCACACCCTCTCACTTAGTTCTACATATAAATATTGCAAATCTCTTACTTCAATAAAAATTGCCCGCTTGGATGAACTTCATTGGTGCACAGGGAGCTAGGGAAGGTGGGGGTGGAATGGGGGAGGGGGGACTTATGACATGGGTACCAGTCCTTGCAGCACTGCAAGGGTGACAGTCTTTGCAAATTTTAATGCAGGTGCCAGAAGAGAGGCTGCAATCCTGGTATGTTGTCTCCATGCTCCTCTTGCTCTCTCTGCACCATGTAGAGGTGTTGGAGGTGTCCTACCTCCTTCAGCTCCTCAGTTGAAAATGAAAGGGAGAGTAAAAAAGTAGCCATAGTTGCAGCTGGGAAATGGCCATGTGGGCAGGATGACTGATGAATGTGCCCAATGTGCACCTCAAGAAGGTCAATTTTATTTGTTTTACTCTATTGGCACTTTTGAGTTGAGAAAATGGGCGACTTTTCAGGCAATTTTCAAGAACTGAAATGTGCTTCATAGGATCTAGTGCTGAAATTGTCAGGTATGCGTTTGGGTGACTAGCAAGAAAATGCCACGAGCCATTGCAGCATCAGTGCTCCCAAGACTGTTAGATCAGTTTGAGTGGCGCCACCTAGAGGCACCTGGGGATGGGGTCAGCCATGCTCTTTTGGGTTCAGAGTTGTCTCTGCTGATTTCTTTTCAGGATTGACATCTGGTGGCAAACCAAGAGGTGGGGCATTGCTTCCACATTGGTGGTTGTAAAACTTTTGCATCCAACTTTCCCAACAATTTTGCTGCATTCAACAATTATATTGTAGAGATTTATGAAATAGTTGTTGAATTGGCTTTCTAGAGGTATTCCTTACACAAAGGCATCCTCTGTGGATTTTTCAAAGTAAGTTTTACATCAGGTGAGCAGCTGGATTCAATGACTTCCAAGGCCACATCTCACTCTAAGGCTTCATTATTTATTAAGCCATCAATTCATGTGCGACAGGAAAAGTTTCTGACCTTGTTTAGGGATGGTGTGCTCTGATGCACTGGATCTGGAAAGGAGCATTTCCAGGTAAATCTAGCTTGGTGACAATTTCTTTTCCATGTATTTTATTTTCACTTTAAGGAAGCAATTTAAAATTTTGATGTTATCATCACATCAAACCCTACTATCTCTGGAGGCTTCCACTACTGCCAGTTTCTGTGATGAATGTCCATGTTTGTAATTTATAAACATATGGCTTCTTGAGAAACTGCTGGAAAAGTGGAGAGGCAATGCAAGGAGTGAGGACATAAAGCAGTGCTATGAAAATAAGACAAAGTAAAGGAATGCTCAAGTCAAAGAAGGGCAGCTGTGTTTGTTCCCCTTTCTATTCTCAAGATATTCTAGATCTTTTGTTACCGGATATTGTGCAAAGAAGTTACTAAGGAAGCTGTTGGACCTTGGTGGCTCACTCTTAAATGTCAGCCTTCCCCTCTTCCTGTTTCAAACCACCGTCCAGGACTCTATCTTCACCAGCTGGGGTCGTGGAGAGGGTGTAAGATGACAACAATTGAATACCTTGCGGGCCTTCTGTGGTGGTGACGGCCTTTGGTCAATACCATTTCCACATCTTCTGATCTAGAGTCAGAATCGAAGGGAAAGAGCTGCCCAGCATTTTGGCATTTTGTAACAACAGCCCTTTTGAAGGGCAGGTGCTTGCTTTTCTGAGCAGTCCCTCCTGGTTAGTGGAGACTGTGGCGCCTGGAGGAGTCTGGAAGATGCTGCAGGTAGAGTGCAGCTGAAGGTGCTCAGGAGTGACCCCACCACAAGCAGGTGTCAGCTACAGAGAGGCTCAGAGTGGCTTTCCCTCCCTCCTGCTCTCACATTTACCAGCTCTTCCTAGGCCTAAGCCTATGGGGTATGTGTGCACTGGAGGAATATGATCTCTAGGACCAGGCATCTGCCATTAGGGAACCCATGAACTAATTGGAGAGGTGGATTATGATGGGGCAAAGTAATATGTCACAAAATGTATTTCATAGAAAACTATGCCCATGAGATATTCTTCTTAGATATTCTTAAACCATTCAGTGCAGCCCTGGCACGTGGAGGATGCCCAGTTAATATGGACAGAAGGAGTACATGAATCTAAAAAGCCCTGAGATTCCTCTGCTAGAGAAATTTCTTTGTAAATTTAAACTACTAACTTTAAAAACCTGAGAAATAAATATATAAAGTATAAAATCTTTTTTCTGAACTATTTGAGGGTAAATTTCAGACATTCTGCTTCAGCCCTTAAACTAGGAATAAGGATGTTCTTACAGAACCACCATCTATTTATAAAAATCAGGAAGTTCAGGATTGATATAATACTATTACTTGATCTATAGACCTTATGCAACATCATTCCAAGTTTTCCAGTAATGTCTTGTATCGCTCTTCCCCCGAGCCCAGGATCGTGCCTTGCAGTTAGTTGGCATGTCTCTTTAGTCTCCTTAATTTGGAACAGTTCCTTAGCTTTCCTTGTCTTTTGCGTCATTGATGTTCATGAAGAGAACAGGCCAGTTATTTTTCAGAATGCCCCTCATTTTGAGTTTGTGCCATGCCTTCTTAAAATTAGATCCAGGGTCTGAATTTTGGGCAGGAATACCAGAGAAGTGATACGTCTTTCTTGCTGTATTTCAGCAGGAGGCACGTGATGGCAGTTTTCCCCATATTTGTGATGTGAACTTTGATCACTTGGTTAAGATGGTGTCCAGCAGGTTTCTCCACTCTAAGATTACTCTTTTTCTCTTTATAATTAATATATAATCTGTGAGAAGATACTTTGAGACTATGTAGGTATCATGATTATCAAACTTTCACCCACTAGTGATCCGTTGATGAATCTTGACTGGATCAATTATTGTGCTGATTACAAGATGTCCAACCATATTTAGCAGTTGGCATTCTTCAGTCAGAAAGGAATTTTCCTTCTCCCCCATTTGTTTATTTATTAATTATCAATTTGGACTTGTGAGTTTTAAGTTTTTTTGCTGCATAAGATTCACCCTGAGCTAACATCTGTTGCCAAGTTTCCTCTATGTTACATTTGATTCACCACCACAGCATGGCCACCGAGTGGTATAGGTCTGTGCCCAGGGAACAGACACTGGGCCACCAGAGCAGAGCATGGTAAACTTAACCACTAGGCCACGGGGCCAGCCCCCTCATGAATTTTAATTTTATTTAATAGATTATAACCCATTTTGGCCATTATTTGTTTGTAGGCTCAAGTTTTACCAGCACAATCTGCTTAACTCAGCATTTCCTAAACTCACTTCCCCATAAAGTGTTTTTCCTTTGGAATACCCATTGACATCTTGTTGAGAGAAGCTTCTGTTGAGTTTGCTGGGGCAAACCCTGCAGCCATGCCATGAGTATGGAACAGCAATTCTCTGCAGGAATTCAAGGAAGGGTGGACCACTCATGGCTGGGGTGATATGGAAAGTCTTAAGTAGGGAAGTGTTTGGGGTCTTCTGATAAGTCAAGATGCAGGTAGAAGGGGGATGGAATGCTCAGAGGCATAAGAGTCAGAAGGTACAAATTATATTTTCACTGGCGCAAGAAGACGAGGTTAGCAGGGAAGTAGGAGGGGGAAAGTCTGAATATAAAGGCTTGGGACATATTGAAAAGGGGCTTGAAAGATGCCTGAGGAGCTTGGATGATACCTTGAATTTGTGGGAGGTCACCGGGTGCTGAGGAGAGAACCAACGTGATGAAGCAGAGGTATAGAACACGAGGAAGGGATAACTTGCAGAGAGGTGGTGAGCTAAGAGCTCTAGCTGCCTCTATGACAAAGGTGATAAGGATCTTCATTTTGTGCATTTGTGATTTCTTCTCCAAGAGAAAAGAATCGGCTCCCTGTGTGAATTTTATAACCAGGACTTTGAACAAGCTGGACTTGTGGGATGTAATCATAAAAGCCAATTCATTTTATCTTCCCCTTTCCTTTAAAGTTTATTCAAGGGGGAAATTCTGGCAGTTTCATGACCCTGTATTACCGTTAGTCAATAAAAATCCTATGGTCATTTCTAAGCTGCCAAACACAGTCGCAATTCAGGAGAGAGAGGTGAGGGTGCCAAGAAAGGTCTCATTTAATTGGTGCTGTTGTAAGTTGGCTTCCCACCACTGGGAACGTCCAATTACACATCTCACGACTTGGTGATGCACTTTTCTCAGGCTGGCTGCTCTCCCTCAGCCTCCAGCTTTGGGACAGCCACTCCACACAGGCTCTGTGGGAGGTCCCAGTACCTCCTGTAGTCAGCCTTTTTGAGAATGATTTAAACCCCTCCAAGCCAGCTCTCTCTGTCATGCATGGCCTTATGGTGTCCACGGCCAACACTTCACATCTTTTGCTCTCCCAAACTCGGAGCTCACCCCATCTTCCGCTTGTCTGGTAAGAATCTCTCCAGCTGCTTAGATATGCCAGAACACCACATCCCTGTACCACAAAGGCCGCATGTTAGCTTCACATGTAGCATTATGGAAGCCCCCCAACAAAGTCTGAGGTGTGAGGCAGATTCCTCCTCCTCCTGACCTTAGGAAGACGTGAGACTCATAGTACAGTTCTCTCTGAAGAAACTCTTATCACACATTCTCTCCCCTTAATCATCCCAATCACCTATGCCCTTTCACCCTTGATAATGCATAAGGAGTAGTGAAACAGGTTTTCATAGATTTCCTTTGGTGAGTTGCATCAGGAACTCACACTTCCCTTTGTAGACAACCTTCTGCTCCATCTGATTGACCATTCCATTTGCGGACCCTTGGTTTGAGATTTCTCCTCCATTTCTGACTTGTTAATGTTGATGGCTGTGATAGCCCAGTGCAGACAGTCCTCTGCTCTGAGCTCCTGCAGACTGGCTCTCTTCTGTCTGAGAGTATACTCTCCAAGAGACAAAGCCAGAGGTCTGTGTGCTGTTGCTCTCAGCTGCCCCTGGCATTCACAGGTGTGATCCAACAGCTGGAAATGAGAGGACACATTTGATTGGAAGTGGGCTTTGCCTTGGTCAGCTCAGCATGGTGGGTGCAACACCTAAGTGCTCTGTGGTGGGTCCTGAGCTGAGCACTAACGTTAGAATTTTAGACAGAAGGATGACAGCATGTACATAGTTTGGCTTGCAGTTAAAATGTTCATTCTTATGGAATTATCAAGAAAAACAGCTTAATTTTCATGATATATTTAGCACATCCTCATTAGCTCTACACGTTCTTGAGTAAAGCAATGGCTAAGTAGATCCATTATGTATTTTTCTTTTGTTTTTGTAGGTAGTGGAGAAAAATGCAGATCCAGAAACAACCCTTTTGGCCTACCTGAGAAGAAAGTGTATCCGGACTTGGAGTGGGGATGAGGCAGAGGGAGGCAGTGGGACTCACTCTCTGGGCCTTCCCTCATTTTCTAGTGACTGGTGGGGAGGCCGTGGAGGGTGGAGGAAGAGCACTGGATTAGGGCTCTGGACTCCTGTGTTCGAGTTGTAGCTCTGTCACTTAGCAGCTGTGTGACCCTGGGAAGTCATTTGAGCTCTCTGAGTCTAAATTCTCAGCCATTGAATGAGAGGATTGTTCTTGATGTCCTTTAAGATCTCTTCCAGCTAAGACTCTACTAATGCCGAGGTTTGGTCCTGGGCCTTAAAATGAGCAGCTCTGAAAGGCCCTCAGTAGCCCTGGTGAAATTCATAGTTGGTCCCTCTCAGGAGGGGCGGCAACTTCCTTAGCAGATCTTTGGTAATATCTTTGCTAATACAGAAATGGGCTTCCTGGGGAATGTTTCTAGCTCTTCCAAGGAGGAGGGAAACTGAGGGGAAGGGGTGTGTGATAGGAAGGGGATGCCTGAGGTGGGGAACTGTGGAGAGGTGCCATCCATTGTGGAAATAGTGGCACCAGGAGGCCTGGGGCAAGGACTTCCTGAGGGCGACCTGGGATGCTGCTCTTCTCTCAGGGTGGGGAGAGCTTCTATAAGATCCCTATACCTTTTGTTCTTTCAGTGATCCCAGAACAAAACAACAGGGAAAATATAGTAGGAGCGAACATTTAATGAGCATTTACTATACACAGGCTGAATTCAAGGTGATTGTATAGGTTATTTCACTGCTTCCCTTAGCAAGACCTTTTGACAGAAAGAAGAGGAATTGAGGCCTGCATGGGTTAAAGGACCTGCCTCTCCATCGTGTCTTCTGGGAAAATGCTGGCGGAGCCTGGACTAAAGCCTAGAGCCACAATCTTAACCCCCCACACATACTGGAAACTCTCCAGTGGTCTGTTGTCAGGCGATGCTCATCCTGACCTCTGTCAACAAACCACTTATGCTCCTAGAGGCAGGGATGTCTGGTAGCTTATTCCAAGCACATATCTTAGGACAACAAAGGAAGCGAGCCAGAAATCATGGCCTTACCTCCTAGTCACTCACCTCTTATCAGATGGTGGCTGGCACTGCTGTACTAAGTCCTGGAGTTTCGACCTGGAGGGAGCAGGTCTGGAGGAATCTGGTGGCTTTTTCTAGAGGTGAAATCACTCTGTAGGATCAGGGGACAGCATTGGAACTGCATTTCCAGCCCATCTACTTGAGAAGTCTGGGGAAAAAAAGGCTCATTCTCAGAGATTGCTGACATCAATTTTAGTTTTCCAACATGTTTTGAAGGCCCCAAAGCCTCAGATGTCCCTTATCAGAGCAATTGGCTGGCTTAAGGGTCACCTCTCAAATGAAATCTCAAACTGAAAATCGGCCCATAAATGTGAGTCCTTGTGGCTTGTTGCTGCCTGTGCTGAGAGTCACTCCTGGGAGTTCCGGGCAAGAGAGGAGAGTGCAGCCCTGACTTCTGCCTTGGCTTCCAGGAAGATCCTCAGGCTAGAAGAAGACTTTGCTAGACTTTGGGCTGCAGTCATTGGTCTTCACGTGCCCCTAGACTTGTCTGACTGCTGATAAGTGCATATAGCCTGACTGGTGACGAGAATAACTGAAGACACAGCAAGCCCGCCCCAGATGTGTTCTGAAAGAGGCAGCAGCACGGTGAAGGAGGAGCCCCCACTCTGGAGTCAGATGACTGTGTGTGGGTCCTAACACCTGAGGTAACACGAGTGACTGTGTTACTTTGCAGGACTCATGTTACCTCTTGAGTTTCAGTTTCTTGTTTATTTTTTTCAATCTGTAAGGAAATAGTAGTCCCTGCCCCACCTGCTAACTAAATTAGTGTGAAGGTCAAATGGGTCCACAATTATAAGTGGTTTTCAAGTATAAAATGCAATATCATTGTTAGCTAATTTTATTTTGAAAATGATGGAAGTGGTCAGATGATAATGATCTCAGCTCCCTTGTCCTCGGTAGGTAACTGGATGGCTTGGAGACCTGCGGGTCTGAGGGAAAAGAAGCAACAGAGTCCGCACGTCTCAGGGAAAGTGGTTGCCATAGCCTCTAGAATAGCTTACTACTTAGGCACTTTTACAAACACAAAGTATCAGATGATTTCCTCAAGTATATAGAAGAGATGGCTTGGGTTTTGTCCCTGATACCAAAACTATGTTCATTTTAATTTCCATTCACAAGTCTTATGGACTACATTTTCAAAAGCTCCTGGTCCACCCATAATTTTGGGTCCTGTCAGCCCGAAAGGTGTAGGGTGAAAATGCAGGACCCAGCAAGTCCCTGAACAGATCACTGTCTCAGTGTGGCCCAAGTGGCTTCATTGCATAACCAGCTCAGGTGACGTGAGGGCTGCCCCGCATGCTCAGTGTTTGAGGTGCCTCATTTACCAGTTTGGTGCGACCACAGTGTTGGCGGCCTAGAAGACCACAGAGGGAAGATCCTGACACCAAGAAAAGTCTTCAGGTCTCAAGTCCCAGTCAAGTTCAAGTCCTAGAACTGAATTCCCAGGGGAGGATACTTGGGTGCTGTCTGATAGGACCCTGATGACTTTCCCCTTCTGAACAGTGGAGATGGCCCATTCCCTGCCTTCCTGTGTAAGTTCAGGCTCTCCGAATGGGGAGGCCCTGTGCGTGTGCTGCCTCCCTGGGGTGAGGGCCCTGAGGTTGTGTGTGGCAGTGGACGGCTCTACATTGGCAGCTCTGCCCAGGCACTTCCCAGCAGCCCAGCTAAGACTCTCTTCTCTGAGCTCATGTTCCTTAACCCATGAACACCCAGTGGGGCTGAGCGGGACCAAGCTTGGCTGTGGCGAAGGGGGCTGCGGGGCTTGCACTGTGATGTTTTCCAAGTATGATCGTCTCCAGAACAAGATCGTGTATCCTTTGCCTGCTGGCTGGTTGCCCGTGTGAGGACTGTGATGCAGGGCTCAGCTTGTGAGTGAGTGAGTACATGTGTGTGTGTGTGCACATGTGACCTTTCTAAACTCCAGACTCGTTTCACATTCCATGAACTCCTTCAATAGGGGTTCATTGCCCCCAGAATAAACTCCAATCTCTTTGCTTAGCACGGGAAGGCCTTCCCAACATGCCCCACCTTTCCTCTCCAGTTTGCTTTCTCGTCATGAGCTCAGCACTCCAGTCACACAGAGACAATTTTGAACTACTAATGCTCCATGCTCACTCATTTCTTGGTCTTGGTATAAGCTGTTTCCCAAGTCTTGAATGTCCTTTCTTCCAGGACTTGTCTATGTGGTTAACTCTTACTAGCTCTTTAGGACTGGGCGAAATATCACCTCCTCCAGGAAGTCTTCCTTGATCTCCCAAGATGGGTTAGGTGCCCTTTGTCTGTGCTAGTCCCATAGAGTGCCCTGTGCACAGCCCTCTTGATGTGCTTTCCACAAGATATTTAAATTGCATCTTCACTCTGGCTTCTATTTTCCTGGGTTGATTGCAAGCTATTAAAGAACAAAGATTTCATCTTTTTCACCTTTATTTCTCAGCCCTCAGCAGGGTACCTGGCACATGGTTGGCACCCAAGACCTCATATTGATTGTATAAGTGAATGAGTGATGGATAAAGGAAGGGAGGCAAGCTAACTCTCTCTAAGCAGTTTGTGTCTCATGCTCCCTGGGGATTTTCCCTCCCTTCTTCCCAGGGAGGAACTGGAGAAATAGAGGTGGGTGAAAGCAGAGAAGCAAAAGTGACCAGAAGTTCTGAAATTGAAGAGGCTAAGGAAGGGCCCTGCAGAGAGCAGAGCATGTATTGCACATGGAACCTGCCAGAAACTTCCTCTTGACACAGCCTCCAGTGTCAGGATGAGTAAGAGGCGGCTGAAAGTGACCCTAGCTCCCTTGCTCCAGTTTGGAGGCCTAGGGTGCACGGATGCCTGATGCCACAGGACTCTGGGGGGGCTCTGGCCTCACCTGAGGGAGAGCTTCCTTTGTCCCTAGCCCAGAGTCTTGGGTGGAGAGGTGAGGACACCTTATAGAAGATACAAGAACAAAATGTCGAGTGAAGAGAAATGACACAAAGCGTCACCAAGTCTCCCGGGCCCTGTCCTCAGATTCAGTCTTGTGACCTGAGTGGACAATGGAATGACCTTAATCTGGGGTTCCAGCCACTTTCCTGCCAATGCCTGCCTGGCCCCCATCTGTTCCTTGCACCACGTTGCCGTGACGACTGTGGAAGGAATAGGAAGCACCAGGACAAGGTTGCATCCTGTGCAGGTAACCAGCGGAGAGGAGGCTCATGCCAAGGCTGCAGACTTGCTTTGTGTTGCTGGGTTGAGCGTCACTGCCTGGGCAGAGGAGGCATTGTGGCTGGGCCCTTCTCCATCTCCCCAGTTGGCTGTGAGGTAGAAAGGGGAGATGCCCAGTGGTGAAGCTCCCTCCTGTGGTGGGGGTGGATGTAACATCGCATAGCCCTGAAAGAACCAAGAGGTCAGCTGGATTTGGTGGCCAGGGCAGTCCAGCTGTGCCAGAACTGGAGGGAGAAGAGGCAGGGGAACTTCCTCACCTTGACCCTAGTGTGTTTAGGAACCCCTCAGCCTTTCTAGATTCAAGATTCCAGATCCTCTGTGCCCCTTGACAAAAAGCACACCCACTCCCTGCTCCCTCACATGGTAATTCCATTGCACATTTTTCCTCCCACCCATAGATAATACAAATGTGGACATCTAGGTCTCCACAATCACTATAGAGGAGGCCAACCAGGCCTGAAGAAGAGAACTGAGACATATGAATGTCTGACCAAGGCGTTCTCCCAGGCCACCTGGGAATGGAGTGAAATTAGAGATGCTTCTGGGAAGAGGGGGGCAGTAATCTGGGAGATCTTGTGCAAAGAATCAGGATGCTCTTAGGCAAAGTGGAATAGAGCACAGTGGGAACAGAGAACTATGGGAAGGAAAGGCCATTGTTCCCAGTGCTGGGGAAACTGAGGCAGGGGGTCTTTGGGAGATTACAGTCACAGAAGGTGCCAAGGCTAGCCCAAGTCTTAATCCTCCCCAGACCATTTGAGGAGACGTGATGTTCAGATCACACCTTCCTTGGGCACCTTATGTGAATCTATAAATGAGGGCCCCTCACTGAACAAGGTGATTGTTTTCCTCGGGAGGAGCATCTTAGACCAGTCGTGGGAGGTCAGAGCAGGGTGAGGGTGGTATTACTTCACCTCTACAGCTTCGTTTCTTAGCCAGGAAAAGGGGAAATTACCAAACTTGCCCAACCTCAGGAGATATGAGAAGGTGAATTAGGCCTTGTAATTTTCCTTTTTAAAAATTTTTTTATTATGGTAACATTGGTTTATAACATTTTATAAATTTTAGGTGTACATCGTTATATTTTGATTTCTGTTTAGATTATATCATGTTCACCACCCAAAGACTAATTATAATCCATCATCACACACATGTGCCTAATTACCCCTTTGACCCTCCTCCGTCCCCCTGTTCTCCTCTTGTAACCACCTATCCAATCTCATTCTGTCTGTGTTTGTTTGTTACTGTTTTTATCTCCTATTTATGAGTGAGGTAATATGCTATTTGACTTTCTACCTCTGACTTATTTCGGTTAGCATAATACCCTCAAGGTCCATCCATGTTGTCACAGTTGGCCAGATTTCATCCTTTTTTATGGCCGAGTAGTATTCCATTGTGTACATATACCACATCTTTATCCTTTCATCCCTTGAAGGGCACCTAGGTTGCATCCAACTCTTGGCTATTGTGAATAACGCTGCAATGAACATAGGGGGGCATATATCATTACTCATTTGTGTTTTCATGTTCTTTGCATAAATACCCAGAGGTGGAATAGCTAGATCATATGGTAGTTCTATTCTTAATTTTTTGAGGACTCTCCATACTCTTTTCCATAGTGGCTGCACCAGTTGGCACTTCCACCAACAGTGTATGAGAATTCTCTTTTCTCCACATCCTCTCCAAAATTGCTCACTTCCTGTCTTGTTAATAATTCTGACAGGCCTGAGGTGATATCTTATTGTAGTCTTGATTTGAATTTCCTTGACGATTAGTGATGTTGAACCTCTTTTCATGTGCGTGTTGGCAATCTATATATCCCTTTGAAGAAATATCTGTTCAGATCTTTTGCCCATTTTTTAAGTGGGTTGTTACTTATCTTTTGTTGAGTTGTATGAGTTCTTTATATATTTTGGATATTAACCCCTTATCAAATATATGGTTTGCAAATATCTTCTCCCAATTGTTAGGTTGTCTTTTCATTTTGCTGATGGTTTCCTTTGCTGTGCAGAAGCTTTTTAGTTTGAGGTAGTCCCATTTCTTTATTTTTTCTGTTGGTTCTTTTTTCTAGAAGTTTCATGGTTTCAGTTCTTACTTTCAATTCTTTAACCCATTTTTGAGTTAATTTTTGTGCATGGTGTAAGATAATGGTCTACTTTCATTCTTTTGCATGTGGCTGTTAGTTTCCCAACATCATTTATTGAAGAGACTGTCCTTTCTCTCTAGTATATTCTTTGCTGCTTTGTCAAAAATTAGCTGTCCATGAATGTGTGGGTTTATTTCTGGGCTCTCTATTCTGTTACATTGATCTGTATGTCACTTTTTGTGCCAGTACCGTGCTATTTTGGTTACTATAGCTTTGTAGTATATTTTGAGGCAAAGATTGTGATACCTCCAGCTTTGTTCTTTTTTCTCAGGACTGCTTTGGCTATTCAGGGTCTTTTGTTGTTCCAAA